TACTGGTTAACGACAAACTTTATCTAGTTAATTCCAGATAGTAGGTCTTACAATATTAAATCGTTTTGTTCTTTTAAAACCTGAAAACAAGGATAATGAAAAAATACTTCTTTTAGCTACCTTTTCCTAGGTTTTTATTCGGCTGATCTCTTGATAATGCATGATTTACCATAATGATGATGAAAACGAGATTCTGATTCTGATACAAATGATTTTATTTCTCATGCAAAACATAATACAAGAATATTTCTTTCACAACAAAATATGCAATAATACGATAAATATAATGGAGAAAGCACGAGAAAAGAGGAACTAACTTGAAGCAGAGCTTGTTGAAGTGATAGTTCCTCAGATGCTGTTGTGCTATATAACATTGACAAAGTATGCTTCGAAATCAATAAAATAGACAAATATGTAGCTAAGAATTGAGGGGGGGGGTAAATTAAAAAAGAGAAAAAAATTGAGGAAAATAGTGGAAGGCAAAAGAAAGAAAGATAAAAGAAAACAAAAAAGGAGAATAAATGATTGCAAAAGCTCTAGAAAAGGAAAATTAGATCAGTAGAATGAGGGAGAAAGAGATTGAGTCGAAAGTCAAACAAACCGAGATTCGATCATGTATAATTTATAACATGAACGTTTGTACCATCATAATCCCCTGGGTTCCACTCTTCGGAGGATTTAGCACAGAGAGAAAGAAAAGAGAGGGAGAAGCGAATATTCTCACTATTAGTATTCTTCTTCTACAATGTTATTTGAATTCTGTTATGACAATGAACGACATTGTTGTACGTTTTGTGTACCGCCACAAGGCAGATACATTTATCAGTACAAAGTTGAACAATTTGAAGAAAAAAAATGAATTTGAATCCCGGGCCATACCTCCCTCCCCCGCCCTCTTTTTCTTTATCTTTCTCTATCTCGCAATAGAATTGGAGAAATACACGTGTCCTTTTGCCACCCCCTTTACAAAAATTGAAACAAGTATGATGAAGTACATGTAGATACTTCGTATATATACCCTTTCAAGCCTATCTGCACTAGTCTGGCCAGGAGGGATTAGACCTCCCTGCATGGTCACTGTCAGGTGGTTATCTCAACAAATCAACTCTCAATTAACTTAAGAAAAAGGGGTCCGTGGTGGACCAATGGTCACCGATTAGGCATGGTTTGCTATATAGAGGGCGCAAGTAGCTATAAGTAGTGCAGTGTGGCGTTAACATTTTTTTTTAATTTGCTGACCTCTTGTAGCGCATGATTTACCATAGTTATGATGGAATGAGATGATATGCGTGTACATAATGATTATGAAATCATGTTTGGTTTACAGATGGTAGCGTCCAAAGTATCATTGTTGAACTAAGTGAGGGTTTTGCAATCCAATTATTTTCCGCCTGGACTAGCGTTTCGATTTTAATCATTTTTTATATATTAAATACATTATCTTAAATGGGCAATATGTCATAAATAAATATCTTTAGGTATAAGTTGTTTACATGTACCTGAGTTTCGCTTGGTTAGTTGCAACTGGAGGATTTATACGAGACAAATACTAATTGATATGTTACGTCACCTCTATCATAACGTGACGTCACCTGTGTACATGATCATTGTTATGTCGTTTGCATTCTAATTGATATGTTACATGTGACGTCAACTCTATCATAGCGTGACGTCACCTGTGTACATGATCATTGTTATGTCGTTTGCATTCTAATTGATATGTTAAATGTGACGTCACCTCTATCATAGCGTGACGTCACTTGTGTACATGATCATTGTTATGTCGTTTGCATTCTAATTGATATGTTACATGTGACGTCACCTCTATCATAGCGTGACGTCACCTGTGTACATGATCATTGTTATGTCGTTTGCATTCTAATTGATATGTATGTTTTGAAGACAATTTAGTTTATGTCGCTTATAGTTTGATATAGTTTAATATATCATGTAAAGCTTAAAGAAAAGCAATATAAGCACTAATTGTTGCTGAATATTGGCAACAATAAACCGCTATTGCTACTCTTTAATACAACCATGACGTGACAATTTACTCTTTCAGGACTCACAATAATTCGTTTTACAGTTGATTCATGTCGGTTGATTCCACTGTTTGGTGGATTTAGCAGAGAGATAAATAGATGGAGAAGTGAATATTTCACGATTCTCCTTCTTCTTCTACAATGCTATTGAATATATGTATGACAATATATGACGCTGTGGTATTATTTTAATATACTGTCACATACATAGCAATTGCATGACAGATACATTCATCAGTACCAGGTGGAATAATTTGAATGCCAGGGAAACTGAATATGAACCCCGGGCCAACCCCTCCCCCCCCCCCCCTCTTTCTCTCTCTCTCTCTCTCTCTTTCTCTCTCTATTTCTTTCTGTCTCTCCTGTCCTTAATATGTTTCGCCGTATTTTGAATGTATTATTCTTTCGATTTTATAGAGGACTTCACTACAAGCTATATCTGAAGATGACGCCCTTTTCGGTATATATTTTTGTCTTGTTCAGCCATTGTCGATTAAGGCCTCAGCATGCTTTCTCTAAATGACTCTGTTTAGTGCTTGTTGGTGCCAATTAACCTTTCCCCAGTACTGTTGCAGCTCATCTCTCCATCTTTTTCTTTGTCGTCCCCTGTTGCATTTTCCCTTGTATAGTGTCCCGTGACTGGCTGCTGAACTCGAGCTATTATCGTGTATATATACAGCTGATATACAATATCATTATCATTCTTTTAAAGTAATAAGATTGTAAATGTAGGTATGTTGATCAATTTGGAATGAACAAACATTAAATCAAAACCTATGAAACGTACATAACGATTATGAAAAAACGTTTTGTGTACACACGGTAGTCTCAACAGTATAAATAATGTTCTCTCCGTGAGGTCCCCGTAATCCAAGTATTATTCATCGGGGTTGAGCGTTTTGACAATATAATATGTTTCATAACTTTTTTTTTTTTTTAAGTACACTTATTTGCATCTTTCCCGACTTTTGCTTGCATATTTGGTAAATGTTGTCCGTGCTGTAAATTTCCTACGAGAGGAGTAGTTGTCTGAGAGGAATAGAAATCAGGGTAATACATATCCTGAATATTGAGGTGATTTTATTTATGTCGGTTGTCTTAGAGTATACTAGTTGTCCTAGGGTTAGTCAAACAGGGAACATGTATTTGACCGGTGATAATAAATCGGGGAGAAAGCATATACATGTACTTTCACAATATAATCATGAGTCATGGCTTACCTGACATGTCTAAATACAAGTATAGTTTAATACATGAACCTTTTTCATAGAAATATACTAAATATACTAAACATATCAGTCGATCACCTCGCTACCCGACTATGGGGGACCTGACTATCAAATTACGGGGTAGTGGTTGCCCGACTTTTGGTGATTCAATAATTATAAAAAGCTGCAGACCCCCCCCCCCCCCTCCCTCTCCCTCTTTGTTCCCATCCAGACTCGTAGAAAAATGGGGGTCGTACCGGGGTAGCTTTCTTTAGGTTAATTCGACGAGGGTAATTATCCAAGTTGCCCAGAGGGAAGTTGCCCTTGAGTTAATTTTCAGGAGGAAGTTTTTCAAGAATCTTTGATGCACTATCGTAGGCAGTCATTATAACAGTATTAAAGGTACCATGTCCCATTTGCAGCCAACATCAAATTCTATAGAACTTTGAATATGTAACCCATTGCTTACTGGAACCTGTATTAAGCCTATGGGAAATGAGAGAATTCAGTAGTCAAAGGGTTAAACGTTTAGCAGTGTCCTAGTATTCAGATTATGGAAGGAAATCCGCTAACTTGCTAGGTTTCACTGTCAGACACTATTATGTGACCGATTGACTTCTTTTTTTTTCTTTGGTAATAACATACATAACTGTACATGAGCTGTAAAGGGTACGTGAGCATTTGTCTACATCAATAACCCACTTCTTGTAATGGCGAAAAATCGTATCCGGACACCCCTAGGACAACTAACCCTAGGATAGTTGTCCTAGAGGATGGTTGTCGTAGGGGGTAGTTGTCTGGGGGTAGTTGTCCGGGGGTAGTTTTCCGGGGATTAGTTGTCCTAGGAGGAGGATGTCCTAGGGGGTAGTTGTCCTAGGGGGAGGTTGACTGGGGGTGGTTATCCGGGTAGGGGTGGATGTCCCGGGGGTAGGTGTCCTAGAACCGCCTAAAAATAAACTGATTGAATCTTTGCGCAGCACAAAACGTACGACCATTCGGTACAAGGGTCTGAAAATCAGAATATTTACTAAAATGAGTGCAATCACTTAAGTCGACTCGGCAACCAACGGTCGCTATATTTCCACACAAATACATTTTCAAGCCCTTTCATTTTGAGGGAGTTTTAAATTATTATTATCTTTCAAATGCAGGTGGATTTTAACCTTTTCATTTGTGTGGCCTGCAAATGGGACACAGTACCTGTAAAGACAAAAGCCTGTTAGAGTTCGATGTTAATTGGGTAATTGGGTCACCTATTCAAAAAGGTAACCAATCCACTAAACATGGAATGTTATTATTTATTATCATGGCCTCTAAGCAAAGGTTTCATGTGATTGAACACGTAAACAAATGCTGGGTCTGTTCTTTATAAAGACCTTCATAATTAATTCAGTGATTCTACATTGTGAATTCATTATTGCTGCCAGTATCGCAACGCTCCATGGCAGATGTACAAGTATTTTAAGAGAGCGCTAATGACTTATCTTTGTATAGGTGTTTTCATTGATTATAAATTTATATTGTAAAGCGCATTGGGAGGGCATGAGTAATACATTATTATTATAACGCATGTTTTTATTATCACAACATGTTAATTCATTTGCCATTCGTACACGAGTTACTCGAGAAATCAATAACCACATAATCGGGCCAGAACCTGTGGCAATTTCTAATTTGAAATGAGTATGTTCTTCATTGTTTTCCGCACATTTACTTCATGATTTTGTTTTCTTTCTTTCTTTCACAGGGTTTCGTTTTCTGTATTAAATCGCAACACATCTTATGAATAATCATGGCAGACAAGGATGCTCTGTTTGACGAACTCTCAAAAGAATTTCCAGCTGGAAAGTATACAACCTTTTGCAATCAAATGGGCTTTAGCTACAATGAAGCTCAGAACATGCTGACGAGGTTTAAAGAGAATTCCAACGTGGCTCTAAGAGACCTACTATCTCAGTGGGATCTAAAGATGAACGGTGTCACCAGGAAACAACTCGAAGATGCCCTGGACGGAGCAGAGGTCGGTGGACTCTGTTCCATTGTGGATAAACATTATTCAAATGGTAATATTAAGTCATTCTTAATAGGATCTTCTTCTTTTTTAATTATAGAGATTAATGAAATAACCCGTACATTTTACCATGGTCATTTTGCTATAATGCAAACTTGAACTAATCACAACACTGTGATTTAAACATAAATATAAAGTTAGATAATTATGTTTTTAACATGCTTCAATGTTTGGTACACCTTTAAGCTTTAATTTTGTGTGCGGTTTACACAACCAAAATGTCCTTGTTTTCTATTGTTAGCAGGTTGAGCAACACAAAAATAGGATAATTCGGAACAAAATTAAGGACTCGATCCTCTTAGAATTCTAATTTTGACTTTGGTTGCAGTCCATGAAGAGCTATCGAAGAATCTGACATGGCAACATGTCTGAATCTGTTTAACACTTTAACCTGACTATGTGTATATTTGTCTAGTTTGTTTCATGAATTGGAAAGGCATATTGAAAAATGCATATGTAAATAGATCATAACAAAGACAAATTATAACATGATAAAGCAATACGTGGTCTACTTTTCACAGCTTCCCGTAGAGTGGTAGCCGCCACGGGATTGGTAGCCGGAGAGGGCGCTGTTCACGACACTAGAAATGAGTTTATCAACAAATCAGACAGATCGGACTCAGTAAACACGAATCAAGAAGGTAACATACATAGTCTATCAGTTTGTATTCAACTTGTTTTTCTCGCTTCTGGTTCTGTATTCCTCTTCCCTTTATATAATTCGTATACTTCTGTCAATTCTCGAACTTTTCTTTCTTATACTATGAGGTTGGTAAAGGAGAGGAACGTCTCTGATTTCAAGTTCATTCATTCCCTGTCTGTAGCTCTGTCGTCTCTATTTAGAGGAGTCTCTTGCAGCGCATTGGGGCGGGTAGATAATAAAATGATGCTATTTACTGTGTTCATCTGATCATAATTTGACTCCGGGAAAAGCCGTGTCTGCTTTCCGTTTATGTACTAATATTTGTTCATCGGCTTTAATCTTTCTATCAATAATACGTCTCGGCTTCAGTACAAATTAAATACTTGTAAATATATTTTGTTTAAACCAACAATTTGTTGAATATATATGTAAGAAAAATCAAGTTCAAAAGGGTCTTAACTTTCTTTGATTTTCATATCGATTTGAAGAGAAATTCCCTGTCTAAGGGCGATTAACCCTTTGCAATGAGTAAATTTGTGTGAAAGCGGAATAAAATAAGAGAAACTGAATAGCGAAAGTTGTACATCGAACCAATAACATAACAAATTAAGAATTTTTGAATTATGTCCTCACTATATATACATATATTTGCGAAGCTCATATCGGCAAATTGGTCAGTGAATTGTGACGTAGTTACGGACAACTCTCCCGTTTGTCGTGTAAAAAAAATAACATTAATTATGTTTTTCTCAAAAGCACCTTTTCCCTCGGGGCACTAATCACAATATTGCATGGATAGCATATAATTTTATATTATGTGTTCTTTTAAAATGGAATATCCTTCTGAATAACACATTTCGACAAATTGACATTTTAGTCATTCTGTGTGTTGGAACAAACGCTACAGATATCCGCCACCATACATCACAGTAACATTACCGTTTTGGCCAATTAGACATTCCCTTGCGTCATTTACGTATAGCGATTGCAACTTTAAACAACTTAAAACGCTATTATTGTTTGTTCGATTTTGTTTAAACTTTCACCAGACTGGTTCTCTATTTTCTTTCTGTTTCATGTCAGAGCGATTTGCCATTAATGATGGATTTTTCCTATGTGTTTCCAGCACTTTAATCTATGGGGAAGAGGACAACTTTCGCCAGACTGGTTCTCTATTTTTGTCTGCTTCATGTCAGAGCAATTTGCCATTAATGTTGGATTTTTCCTTTAAGCGTGTTTCCAGCCCTTTACTGTATGGGGAAGGAATACAAATGTCGGAACAATGAAAATTGATGTATTCGAACATGAAACAATTACTTACGGAACCCGACTGGGTCAGAAAGGGAAGGGGCTGAGATTGCGGGAGTGCAATAAGACATTTTGCCGTATATGCTTGTATCTTTCAGATATCTACAGTAAGAAGATCTCGGCATCATTGACTGTTCAGCGATGTCGCGAAAAGTTGGAGAATAAGTACCGAAATCAATTGTGCAAAATTCAAATGAAACCGTGGGATCAAACTGATTATGCTGAGTTCAACGATATGCATACGGTTGTCACGATGGTGCAGAAGGACGCTCGTGGACAAGACACGAAAAAGAAGGAAATACTCCAGGGTTCTGTTGCTGAAATATTTTCAACGAAAGTAAACGGAGAACTGCCAGCTCGAATCCTCATTTCGGCCCCCGCTGGAAGAGGAAAGACCACGGCTGTCGCTAAGATGGCTTACGACTGGGTTCACAGGGAAAAGGGGTCAGCATTAGAACTACTGCCACTTCTGTTTGTTGTGAAATTCCGAAACACAAGTCAGCTTACATCGATCGGAGAAGCTATCAAATCCCAGCTTTTGAGTGATGTTAATGATCTCACACCAGAGGGTCTAGAGAGTTTCATTAGAGAGAATCAGGGAATCTGTCACATCATACTAGACGGGCTAGATGAGTATGCCGGTATTTCTTCTTCAAACCGGAGCTTAGGGAGCAACATTGTCAGTGTCATCCGCTGGGAGGAATTTCCAGAGTGTAGAGTCCTTGTAACAACGCGCCCTCACCTAGAGAACTTCTTCAATCAAGCGGAACTTCCAAGGGTATACACAAAGATGTGGATCGAAGGATTCTCGCAAGAGAGCTCACGAGAGTACATCGACAAGTTCTTTGCTTCGACTTCGAATCCTTGTGGTGGACATGGACATGGTCTGAAGGTTTACCTTGATGACCAACCACTGATTAATGAACTTGTTAAAACACCTTTATTTTGTCTCATGGTGTGTCACCTATGGAGCGAGGGGAGTTTGAACACTGAAATTGCAACTCAAACAGAATTATTAGACAGCGTGAATGATTTTCTGATGCACCATGCCAATGCCCGAGCAACATCAACATACAACATAACAGAAGAAGAACTAATCGAAATAATTTGTAAGCTGGGTAAGGTTGCTTTAGCTGGTCTACTCGATGACTCTAAAAAAATAGTTTTTACGCCCCATAATTTCCGAAGAGTTCCCGCTATCCTTGATAGGGCATGTGAGCTTGGGATATTATCCAAGACGACGATTCCAAAGACAAGGCTCCAACGATCCCACAAGGCCACATCCACGACCATTGAGTTTTATCATAAACTCGTTCAGGAACACTCTGCTGGGAAATACCTTGCTGCTAAAACAAAGAAATATATGTTACGACTGAAGATTTCTAAGTTGGACAGACTGCTGCGAAACATCAAAGCAAACATCGGTGACTATGAGAATCTCATCCGATTTGCAGCTGGCACAGATAACAACCTTTGCATACGAATAATGGAGGCGCTCCTTTCCAACCGCTTTTTGGATGAGAGCGAGCGATATCGCATTCTCCTTGACTGCTCATCAGAGACCAAGGGTACTCAACAAAATGTGTCTTCGTTGGTTCAAAGATGTGTGAATGCAGAGAGTATTGTTCTAAAGTCACCGACTGTCTACACCGTCGTTGGGATGCAAAATCTTCCAAAGCAACTTAAGCTTCAGGTATGCACATTTTCATTTGACAAAATGTGTTTACAATAATAGTTTCATAAAGATTGATTAAGTTTCCATCCCTCCGCTATAACTATAAGTCAAAGGGGTAAGATTGTTTTAATAGATTATTGATTAATTGACGGCATCTTCATAAATAATAATACATGATAAAATGATCAAGACGTATGATTCATTATCGTAATTATTCTATCTTTGCCCAATTACGGCCTTGATCAAGGTACTGCATTCCAAAAACGAGAAAAATAATGCAAACAAATACTAGGTCCTGGGCCTATTCATATAGGGAAAATTATGAGACTCAGTCATTAAAAGCAAGTAGCATAATTATGTAAAACAAGGGAACATTATATTTAACATGGAAGAAAATACATCTTTAACTTCTGAATGTATGGAGTAGGGAAGGGAGCTTTCATTACTTTAGCGATTAATATTTCCAGATAGGGTCAGGCTGCAATCTCGTTCGCTTTAACCCTAATAAGGCCGGGGGAGGGGGGGCATTATGCCCCCCCCCTCCACGATTTTTCCGATTGCTCGGGAACGCGTATGGATGGCGCCCCGCAGCTCGCTGACTTTTTTCTTTCGAGTCTTGCGCAACTTTTAAAAGATTTTTTTTTGAAAATCGGACCTACGGTTAGAAGGTCACGTGACCTTTTGTCTTTGCATGTCAGCCCGAAAATCGCGTGATTTGTGTACAAAACATATGGAACAGTCATTTTTCCTAAAAACAGATCAAAATATGGGTTATTAGGTCTTGTTTAAAGTTAAGGTGGTTGTTTTGGAGTCAAAATAGTTGAATTGTATTAAGAAATGAAATAAAACAACAAAAACAATGAAATACATAAGAAATTATCAAAACAACGGATAACATAAGGAATAAGCTGGCTCTTCCAAAATATGTTGTTGTTTTATTATTCAGAATGGTCTAATGAATATATGTAGTGAAAAGGAATGACTTATGGGTAAAAATGTGATTTTTATGACTTTATTTGCGTACATTACCATAAATATGCAAATGAGTGAATTTTCAAAAATTTGAAATTATCATATTATTCTATACACTTCACTTCACATTTTCGCGGTGATCGGCCGCTTCGCGGCCGAGATCTTAAGGGGGGGGGGGGACATAATGCCCCCCCCCCGGCCGTACTAAGACCTCGGGTTAATGATTACCACCAAAAAAAGACATTAGATAGTTCAGAATCTATGACGTGATCTTTGGACTTCTACCCCCGGCTAAAAGGCATGATGTACTAGTTCGTTGATAACGCCATCTTGGGCGGCTCGAAGTAAGTGCAGAGAATATTATAGAGATGAAATATAAGAACAGGCCAGATTATGGACTAGAGATGAAATAGATATTTTCATCAACTGTTCTGACTATTTGATTCTATCTCTCTTTCTCTTCACCACCCCCCCCCCCCCCCGCCCCTCTCTCTGTGTCTGAACACCAGGTTAGGACAGTAAAGTTCGAGGGATCTACTCTAACTACCGACGTGACGAGTGGACTTTGGTCCTGCCTCAATGCCTTTTCGATGTTACATACTCTCATCATCTCAGACTCGTCTCTCAGTTTCCCTCCATCTCCTCCGGAGCTTCTATCCGTCACAGAGCTATCAGCTGAGAGAGTGACGTCACAAAGCTACGAAGGAGTGCTCTCAACGATACACGGAGTGAGAGATATCGATGTCTCTATCGATGTTGCAGAGACGAGCAACACTTTCCAGATCACCACCGCATCCAGGCCTACGAATCAGGCTATGGATGAACAGTTCTTTGTTCATATCAGACTACACGCCTTGACATCACTCACCACAGACAGGAAAATCGAATCAGGAGAGACAATTGGAGGGCTTAGTCTTCTATTTGAAGACCAAACCAAAAACCAACAACGGCTGCATGTGTCCGGGGTGATGGGCAGAGACGAAGAAGCCTTGGTGGACCTGTTTGTCAAGACTAAACAACTAACGTACTTGAATTCGGGGTAAAAATGACTAGGTCTAGACTCTAGGCCTAATAAGTAATAGGCCTTGAAGTTGTAGTAGGGTTAGGCCTACTAAGTACTAGATCTAGCTCTAGGTCTAGATCTAGATCTTTATTGATGTAGGTCTATGGTAGTGTGACCATAGTTCGCTATGTCAACAAATCGGTAAGATATCGAAATTCTGATATCACTAATGGAAAGAAAAACCTAAAATTACCGAGAGACGAATTTTTGTATGGAATTGGAGGTGAAATTAGACTCTAACTTTAGGCCTAGTAAACTATTGTCTTTGACAAAAGATCGGCAAATTGTGCAGTCTTTTGCGTCCGTTCCGAACAAAAACATGAACTTGCCGACAAGGTCAAGGGTTTGTAAATCTTTATTTTGAGAGCAAATTTCATCAAAATTTTAAATAAAAAGTGGTACCAACCAGGGGCGGCGATTTATTTTCATGACCGGGGGCGACAAAGTGCGAGGGAGCATATACCCTATATCTAGTGAACGAGAGGGGTGAAGGTGACGGAAGTGACTAGATCTAGGTCTAGGGCCTAGGGCTACCCCTTACACTTTCACATGTTTTTGAAGTTTTGATGTAGCCTATTAAAACAATACAGTATTATAGTATACAAACAAGCAATATGCTTTTTTCACACTTCACTTTTACATTGCCGGTAATTAGTGTGCAGTCCGAGGCGAAGGGTTGTAAATATTAGTGAACTTTAATTAGATCTAGTCTAGAAGTAGAATCTAGGTCTAGACAAAGGACCTTGAGTTTGACTTAATAGATCTAATACTATTTTTTAGAAAATTTGGTTTTAGGCCTAGTCTACACTATTTCCCCCTAGAAAGTCAGGCGACAATATTTGTATAACCAGGCTGGAAGGGACTCCTTAACAAATCAAACTTACTAAAAAGGAGCGAGCGGAATATTAATTTTGTTAGCACTGATCTATTTGTATAGGCCTATTCCTATTAAACTCTTAATCTTGTAAAGATACAGTGTGATGTGCTTTAATACGTGATACCAACGAAATACAGATTTTCTACAATATTTACCTGTACATTTTGAAGGACATTATGCGAGGGATTTTAGCTAGCGACCGAGCGAGAAGATGTTTGCATTTTTATTAGGCCTAGGCCTAGTCCAAACACTGCACTTTTGGGCCCTCCAGAGCCTAACAAAGAAAAAGTGTTGCAGTCTGTAGTCAGCATTTGCTATACATGTTTGTGTGTGCACTTTTTCAAATTTTCCGGAGGGGGGGAATTAATCCCCTCCCTCTAAATATCACCGCCCCTGGTAGTTACTGAATGTATGATAGTTTCCTTGCAAAATATTAAATTATCTTACATTTGATCGAATGGATTTTTCGATAAATCAGATGTTAAACCCCCGTGCACGAAGTAAAGTCATTTTCGTGAGTTGCAGCGCGCACGCCAATCCGACATCGAATTTTAGATCGCGATATCTCCGGAATCCTTTGACGATAATTTGTTTGTAGTAGCACCAATTTTTAGTTAAAAACTTTGCCGTCCAGTTTCTAATAATTGAATTAAATAAATTTATGTAAAATATGGGAAATCATGGATCAAATAACACATTTTCTAATATTTTCTAAAAACTCTGCGAACTTTTGTCACTGCAGATCTTTGTTTTCATGTCGTTTTTTTAATTTTAAGACGGCATGAACACCAAACAATGTAATTAAAATGGTAATTTATGGATGTTCTTATTAGTATTGATATCATTATCATGATTATATTTCTTACTGTTTTACCATTATTATAATATGATTATTATCATTATTGTTATGTTAGTATTGTTGCTTTCATTTACCTCTGTAAAGAGGGGATGCATAATTCACTTGCATTCTTTATTAATGTAATATAATTTCCCAATATTTGCTTTCAAGAATCACATTTTTTCCCTCATTCCTTTTTAAATATTCTTTGTAGGAGTGGAGGTGGTACTCTACACAAAAAGAACAACGTCCAGGTGAGTGACTTTTGGTATACGGGTGCATGCATTTCACTTAGAAATATTCAACAAAGGGATATCCTCTGAATTTTACTATTGAAGGGAATTGCAAAACAGTTGCATTTTTTTGTTTTTGAAAGAACTCAATTAATTTTCGGAATATGAATGTAATACTTGTAATTTCAGCTTCACTGACGTGGGATTCTGTGATGTATATAAAAGTGACAAGTTTGTCTGTTTGCAATTCATTGCAGAATACTAGGCTTGAGATACAGCAGTGCCAGCTATCTACTGAGATGACCGACAAGTTGTGGTCCTGCCTCAGATCCTTTACCTCACTGAAACAGCTCAGCATCTCAGACTCCTCTCTCAGTTTCTTTCCATCTCCTCCTGAGCTTCCATCCGTCACAAACCTATCAGCCGAAAGAGTGACGTCACAATGCTACGAAGGAGTGCTCTCATCGATACCTGGAGTGAGAGATATCGATGTCTCTATCGATGTTGCAGAGACGAGCAACACTTTCCAGATCACCACCGCATCCAGGCCTACGAATCAGGCTAGGGCTATGGTTGAACAGTTATTTGTTCATATCAGACTACACGCCTTGACAGCACTCACCACAGACAGGAAAATTGAATCAGGAAAGACAATTGGAGGGCTTAGTCTTCTATTTGAAGACCAAACCAAAAACCAACAACGGCTGCATGTGTCCGGGGTGAAGGGCAGAGACGAAGAAGCCTTGGTGGACCTGTTTGTCAAGACTAAACAACTAACGTACTTGAATTCGGGGTAGGTAGTACTACTAGTACTACTACTACTACTAGACCTAGTAGTAGTACTAGATCTACTACTAGGCCTAGGGCATATTAGATCTAGCTCTAGGTCTAGATCTTTATTGATGTATGGTGGTGTGACCATAGTTCGCTATCTCAAAAAATCGGTAAGATTTCGAAAGTCTGATAATGATATCACTAAAAGTTAGGCCTAATGGAAAGAGAAACCTAAAATTACCGAGAGACGAAATTGAATTTGAGGTGAAATTAGACAAATATTGACAAAAGATCGGCAAATGTTGTAGTCTTTTGCGTCCGTTCCGAGAAAAAAACATGAACTTGCCGACAAGGGTTTGTAAATCTTTATTTTGAGAGCAAATGTCATCAAAATTCTAAATAAAAAATGGTATTGGTACCAACCAGGGGCGGCGATTTCTTTTCATGACCGGGGCGACAAAGTGCGAGGGAGTAGACCTAAGTCTAGATCTAAGTTAGACCCTAGATCTAGTGAACGAGAGGGGTGAAGGTGACGGAAGTGACTTCCCCCTTACACTTTCACATGTTTTTGAAGTTTTGTTGTATTAAAACATTACAGTATTATAGTAAATGCTTTTTCATACTTCCCCTTTACATTGCCGGTAATTAGTGTGCAGTCCGAGGCGAAGGGTTGTAAATATTTAGTAGATTCTAGGCCTAGATCTCTAGACCTAGACTAGGTCAATTTTTAGTAAAATTTAATTAGATCTAGTCTAGATCTAACTTTTTAGGTCTAGTCATGTAACGAAGGACCTTGAGTTTGACTTAATAATACTATTTTTTAGAAAGATGGGCACCATTTCCCCTTAGGAATTCAGGCGACAATATTTGTATAACCAGGCTGGAAGGGACTCCTTAAAAAATAAAATTCAATAAAAAGAGCGAGCGAAATATTAATTTTGTTAGCACTGATCTAACTTAGATCTAGATCTACATTTATCTTAATATTGTACACATACAATGTAAACTATAAACTGTGCTTACGTGATACCAACGAAATACACATTTTCTGCAATATTGACTTGTACATTTTGAAGGACATTATGCGAGGGGCTGTAGCTAGCGACCGAGCGAGAAGATTTTTTTTCATTTTGATTAGGCCTAGATCTAGGCCTAGATCTAGTCCAAACAATGCACTCTTGGGCCCTTCAGATCCTAACAAAGAAAAAAGTGTTGCAGTCGGTAGTCAGCATTTGCTATACATTTTTGTGTGTGCACTTTTTCAAATTGTCCGGGGGGGGGGGGGAGACGATCCCCTCCCCCTAAACATTGCCGCCCTGGTAGTAACTGATTGTATGATATTTTTCCTTGCAAAATATCAAATTATCTTACATTTCATTGATTGAATTTTTCGATAAACTAAACCTCCGTGCACGAAGTATTAAGGTCTCGTTGTTTTTAAGACTTTTTCGTGAGTTGCAGCGCGCACGCCAATCCGACATCGAATTTTAGATCGCGATATCTCCAGAATCATTTGACGATTTTGTTTTTGAAGTAGCACCAATTTGTAGTTAAAAAACTTGGCAGCCTATTTGCTAATAATTGAAATATATACATTTTTTGTAAAATATGGGAAATCATGGATCAAATATCACATTTTCTAATATTTTCAAAAAACTCTGCAAACTTTTGTCACTGCAGATCTTTGTGTTAATGTCGCTTTTTTAATTTTAAGACGGCATGAACACCAAACAATGTATTAAAATGGTATTTCATGGATGTTCTTATTAGTATTGATATCATTATCATGATTATATTTCTTACTGTTTTACCATTATTATAATATGATTATTATCATTATTGTTATGTTAGTATTGTTGCTTTCATTTACCTCTGTAAAGAGGGGATGCATAATTCACTTGCATTCTTTATTAATGTAATATCATTTCCCAATATTTGCTTTCAAGAATCACATTTTTTCCCTCATTCCTTTTCAAATATTCTTTGTAGGAGTGGAGGTGGTACTCTACACAAAAAGAACAACGTCCAGGTGAGTGACTTTTGGTATACGGGTGCATGCATTCACTTTGAAATATTCAACAAAGGGATATCCTCTGAATTTTACTATTAAAGGAAATTGCAAAACAGTTGCATTTTTGTTTTTGAAATAACTCAATTAATTCTCAAAATATAAACGTAATACTTGTAAGTTCAGCTTCACTGACGTGGGAATCTGTATGTCCACACGTTTATTCTCAATATTCAATTCAATGTAAATAAAAGTGACAAGTATGTCTGTTTATATTTATTGCAGAATACTAGGCTTGAGATAGAGCAATGCCAGCTATCTACTGAGATGACCACAAAGCTGTGGTGCTGCCTCAGATCCTTCACCTCACTGGACTCTCTCAGCATCTCAGACTCCTCTCTCAGTTTCCCTCCATCTCCTCCTGAGCTTCCATCCGTCACAGAGCTATCAGCTAAGAGAGTGACGTCACAAAGCTATGAAGGTCTGCTCTCATCGCTTCCTGGTTTGAGAGAGATCGATATCACTATCGATGATGCAGAGAGAGACATACCTCAGTTCACGGCTTGTCTTCGTCGGACCGGAGGACAGCAGCTCATACACATCAAGCTTAGAGCAGCGTCATCACTCCCATCAGAGAAGAAGAGTGTATCGAGAGAGACGATGAGAGGACTGGGTCTGCTGATCAGAGAACAAACCAAGAACCTACAGTGGCTAAATCTGTCCGGGATAAAGTGCTTGGACGAAGAAGACTTGGTTGAACTTGTCGAGTCGTCAACATATTTGAAAGCATTGGATAGACTGCATTTACAGTGAGTTCAAGTAGATTTTCATACATTTCTCAATGAAATTAAAGTAGACAAAATTAAACAGAAAGTCTAACTGTAATGTAAACTGTAAAAAGTGAATAATAGCTTTGCTTTTGTGTGATTTTGTCTTATCAAAATTGTATCGAGTATGTTAATGTCTTTGAAAAATCAATTCAAGATCAGTAAAAAATAATCACACTTCACAAACTGCTGTAAATAAAAAAATAAATTTTAAATTGGTTAGATGAAAGGAGGGGGCATGCAAATACTCTTAAAAAGTCCATGCGATAATTTCCCATGGGAATCCTCTCATCTGCCCCAGCCAGCTCAAGGGCTCCTCGCGGTGGTGGGGTGGGGTGGGAATCATAGGGTATATTTTTCTTATATCCTTACTTATTTGCATCCCAAACTGACAATTTAAACATTTACACATTTTTAGGCAGTTATTTTCTTTCAACTCGCATTTCCCATGGCACTATTCACAATGTATGCCATTGGTTGTAATGCTATATTTGTTGAAAGTCTAAATGATCTCTTGGACTAGAATAGCTATAGACAAACGAGAATGGAAATGTTATGAGGAGGACTATGTCCAACGTCTTGATGAACTATAGCCTGATAGATTGATTGATAAATGATATATTTGTTATATATATATATATATATCTTCAACTCCCCAGGACCGGTATTCGATTCAATACTTAGCATAAGTAAGACATTTACTAAGTAATTTGCTTATCTCGTATTCAAATCGCATTTTAGACTTAAACTTAAGTCATACAAAATTCTAAGTAAAATATTTACTGATAAGCATTGTGACGTCTCACGGTCAATTAAAAGTAATGCGCATTCCAATAAATGCGCGCTGATATAAATGCGCGCAGGCTATAATACTGCGTAAGAAAACCATATGCCTGCCAATCAAGGCCTCCAAATAATTGGCTTGCGTCTGGTAGGGAGCTGACTTAAATTGAAAGTAAAATACTTAGCCAAAAGTGTGAATTAAATACCAAAATTGGCTAAGTATTTTAGGTAAGCCAAATACTAAGTAAAAAGCTTAAATTTTGTACTTAAGTATTGAATTGAATACGGGCCCAGGACCTTATGCATGTTAGTACCATACGGTACTCGCAGGCCATGTCCGATATCGATGTTATGTCATGAATCCCCCCACAAATTCCCATTGTTGTTTGTGTTAATTTTTTTCGTTTGTCGCTTTCAACTCTCTATATCAAATACTATAGGTCTCTTGACGGTGGATGTTTTGCATACGATGGAAAATCGGGTGACCAGGTAGGCAGATATCTTATACTAATACTATATACGACTACCAACATTTAGGAAAGCAATTTACTATTTGCGCCTGACCGGAAAACCCAAATAAGTGTTCATTTTCAAGTAATACAATCGAAGATAGCTCTTACAGATTCAAAGGGGTGATTGGGCCACATTCTGTCTCGTGATTTTGATTGTTACGATTGTAATTAGCATATTTCTCTTCCCGTCAGTTGTCGATGGTTATATTGAACTGTTTGAACATATTATGGTAAAATTAGCGTATTTTTACGTACCCTATCCAAACACTAAGACTGAACGGCTCGAGAAAAAAAAGGTATAATATGACAATTACCATTAATTTATGTTAACGAGGTGCAACCTAGCATTATTATTTAACATATACTAACTGGATAAAGATTTTTTTTTAAATCATAAGTAAGTTATATTTCCCCTCGTTATTATTTTCCCTATATGGCTGCTCACCCTACCAGTCAATTATGTATACTGTGGTTATAATTATTCATGTAATGTCCGCCGTTAAGATATAATGCAAAAGGGGGGGAGGGGGTCTCACTGTGTACCCGGTTTCGCATTACAGCATTAACGTGATTCAGTAACCATTTAGTCTCTCTGTATTTCATTATCTATTCTAATTCCAGGACGAGTGTGGACTCCTCGTAAAGAATTGCCAGCTATCTACTGTGATGACTGCCAGAATGTGGCCCTGTCTCAGATCCTTCACCTCACTGAACCATCTCAGCATTTCAGACTCTTCTCTCAGTTTCCCTTCATCTCCTCCTGAGCTTCCATCCGTCACAAAGCTATCAGCTAAGAGTGTGACGTCACAAAGCTATGAAGGTCTGCTCTCATCGCTTCCTGGTTTGAGAGAGATCGATATCACTTTCGATGATGCAAAGAGAGACATACCTCAGATCACGGCTTGTCTTCGTCGGACCGGAGGACAGCAGCTTACACGCATCGAGCTTACAGCACCGTACACACTCCTATCAGAGAAGAGGAGTGTATCGAGAGAGACGATGAGAGGACTGGGTCTACTGATCAGAGAACAAACCAAGAACCTTCAGTGGCTGCGTCTGTTCTGGGTGAAGTGCACAGATGAGGAAGACTTGGTTGACCTCATAGAGTGCTGCAGACATGTGAAGACGATGTCAGAGCTGGTGTAGGTTCTTGTTTAAATCTTGTATAAAATAGATTAAAATCCTACTAGCCTAGGCCTAGACGATCCTGTTTGGTTAGTCTGCCGTGAGAAAGCATAATGGTACGAATGCGTGAAAGGATGCAAAGGTTAAAACGTGGGTGTAACCTCCAAGTTTTTGACTGAAAGTTAGGATGGGTTTTGTTTGATTATCGCTCTCAATTGTTATTTTAGAATTTTCAATGTACAGTCGCAATGAATAGAATTTGAATACCTGTATTGTTGCATGTATTAGTATGAATCGTAGGAAGTTACAATAATGTAGGCCTAGGGTCTTTATTAGTCCATTTTGACTTTAAACAAAATAATATGCTGATAAAATAAATTATCATTATTATACATTTTCATTATTAGTTATTAGACTCTATCATTGTTATAACTTTTAGGTCTAGAAGTCTAGTTTATAATTGTTATTATTATTAATATCATTTTTGTTGCCACTACTATCATCATTATTATCATTTATTATCATTGCGTTTACTATCGGTATCAATATTTTGGGTTGCATTAGCTTTTTTTAAAAGCAGAATGGCGAATCGCCGAATACAGCGAATTTAAAAGTTTCGTGCTCTGCAAGGAACCGTTAAAGGCAAACTTTCCTTTGTTAAAATAATTCTAGATCGTTTTTCGGATGCATCGTCTAAGTAACATCAAGTTTCATGAGGTGGCAGGTATGCCCCCTCCCCAAGCCTACGTCAGCTCTTACTCTTCGACTCAGAATTTGTGGATTTTCGTAGCTTAAACAATGCCAAGCTGGGGAAATTTAACTAATTTTCCCGGTTTTTTAAGGCCGAATCACTTTTGGCTTAAAACTGATGCTCGTTAGCTGAACTTTTCCTCGAATCAAATTTAAACTGGAATTGATTTTGATAAATTTTAGGTTAAATGTAAATGGCTCTGTAATCAAGGCTAGTCGATGTTGGGTCAATCGATCAACCACAAAATTGCGTCGCTAAACTACTGCAAGAGAGGTCCTCGAAAAGTAAGTAAATTCCGTTTTCTTCAAAAAAAATCATTCTGTTGACAACTAAATTGTTATTTTGTTAGAAGGAAAGTATTCCTCTCATTTTTAACCGAACGATATTTGAAATAGATATCAACTAAAAGTATTCCCCAAGTGAGATAGATCTAGATCTATTAAACTTAAGTTAAGATGGACGAATTGCACCGGTTCATGCATTTCCGTCCCATTCATATAGATCTAAATGCATGAATGTCCAACTGTACTTGTCTGAAGACCTTAAATATTTGGTTAGGACAGGTCCAAATTCATTAAGAAATATAGTTTATTCTTGAATTTGATAACAAAATCAGTCTAGGCCTACCACGGGTTTAGGAATCATCGCGTTGTATGGTTGATGATAAGTCTAGATCTAGGTCTAGACTAGACTAGACTAGATCTAGATCTAGTGCTTATTATTGTAGATTTAGGCTTAGTCTAGATCTAGGCCTAGATTCCAAATTATCTACTTTGTTTTTTGCCGGTATATAGTCTAGGCAGTGCGGTACACATTGTTTCATGTTGATAATAACAATCAACAATATCATTTTTGTACATGTCATGAAAGAAAATTGGACTCCACAGTGTCAGACCCAAGACCAAGTTAGATCTTGATTATGATCTTAATGTAGATTTAGTCTACATTATACTAGATCTAGGGTAGATGTCTACCTAGTCTCTGCATGGCACCCTTTGTGCAGGACTAACTTAAATCAGTTAGAAGTTGGAGTTCGTCCCTTAGTCCTTGATCTAGACTATTTTTGGGAGATCTAAATTGACAGGAGTTAGACCTAGATCTAATCTAGGCCTACATATAACATGTTAGCCTTTAGACTACATGTAAATGTAGAATGTTATGTAGTAGGCTCATGAGTCATGTATTGAACTCAATATTTTGTTTTCATTCATTTCATTTTCTTCAGAGTCGGAGATGGAGTGGACCTGAAATCATATCCAAGAAAAAGACCTCTAGATCTAGTCTAAGACTTCTCTCCCATCGTGTCTTCAACGTCCTGGACTAACTTCTCATCCTACCTTGGCCCCGATGAAAGGGTTTGGATCTGCATAATGTAATCCGATTCAAGGTGTACTGCAAGATCCTACCGTGCTAAGTGGCCCTTTGTGATCTTCTTAGCAAAGTTTGAACACCGACATTACAATAAGGGTGAGGTTTGTTGTCTTCTTCTTCTAGACCTACATGTACATGTACATACAAATAAATTACTAACTTGTTGTTGAGTTTTACATAATGTTGATATTCATTTATGATAAAGGGTTAAGATGCCGGATATTAGATGCTACAATAACAAACTGAACATTCTGTGTTCTTAATTTAAGAGGAAGCCAACCCTTACAGGTCAAAAACATAGATAAATTACTAAATCAGCCAGATTTTGATCAATATTGTTCGTAGAATAGGCAGCAATTAAAGTATAAACATGTGATTGAAGAAACTCTAACGAGCATATGTACGATGTAAGCTGCTTTCTGTTTGTTATATACCATTTAAGGTAAATATTTCCCTTCTATTTAATTTTAATCAATTCTCTGTAGACTCTACGATAGGATTTGGTTCAAGATCAGAGTATCCAAGATTAAGATAAGACTGTTGTAGAGTCAGATTACAAATGAAAGCTCAAGTTCAAGGTCAACACATTCAAGATTAAGATTTAAAATAAATGTTTGGGATCAAAATCAAAATCAAGAAGAGTCCAAAATGTTTATTATAACAAAAAAGGTTCCAAGTTCCATAGACCCTAGTCCAATTGATACAATTATCACATTTTCTAAAACTTTCAATGTGGTTAGTGACATAGTGGTTTGACCCAAACACATTTAAATTACAATTATAATCACTGATGAAAATGTATTTTTGTTCAGTTGAACACATTAGATTAGGTAAAGTGACAACTATTATTCTGAGAAGTATTTTCGCTCTCTTTATGGTATATGTATTTCTCTGTTTCAAATCTAAGGTTGCAAAGTAAAGATCTGTGGCATCTACATGAAACGCAAACTCATGGCATCTGGACTTTCATACCTAAGGTCTTGTCCATCTCTTCAAGTTGAAAAGGTAAGCGGTATCAGTTAACATAATTGATCTAATATTAGTATGTTTTGTACCTCTCATCATTGCCACGCCCCTACAGCAATCAATAAGCAAGAAAATTTGAAAAAAATTAAGTACATTTCTCATAGTCCTTGTCAGAGGTCTAATTCCGATCTTACCCAATCTATTGTATCAAACATACACAAATAGTAACGATTTTTTCTTTTCTTCAAAAGCATAAAAATAAATACTCTGTTATCTGTTATAACTAAAACTGCTTTTGTATCAATATCAATATATATATATATATTATCTTTCTACTTGATGTATTTTCCAATAAAAGACATTGACATGACTAGAAATACAAAAGTTGTAGATAGATTGAAAAATTACACTAGTATTTATTAATATTTGTATTACATAACTTTCAATTTCAATTTCTAGACTGCAGAGCTTGAATCCCCTGCAACATTATGCTTCATATGAAACATCAGCCAGCCTACAGATACAAACTCCCTTTTCAGCTCTAAGCAAGAAGGACCACAATGCTAAACAGATCGTGGACTGGTCGCTTTCTCATTTAACTACGACTTCCAGTGAAACAGATTATCAAACTAACTCGTCTGAAGATATTGAAAGTGCTCCAGTCCGTGTACTAAAATTTGACATTGAGTATGAGAATATTGGTAAGATTTCATCAAGTAATATTTTAAAGGAACACTCTTAACTTTCTTGCTTTCTCAATCTTCATATAAACATATAATTATCTTGTTTACACTTTAGCAACCCTTCACAAGGTCTATTTAGTAACAGCACCAGACAGAGGGGAGCGTATTATCTTGTTTACACTTTAGCAACCCTTCACAAGGTCTATTTAGTAACAGCACCAGACAGAGGGGAGCGTATTATCTTGTTTACACTTTAGCAACCCTTCACAAGGTCCATTTAGTAACAGCACCAAACAGAAGAGAGGAGAGAGAGACTGGTGCACTTTTAATATCTTCAGATGAGTTCATTTGAAAATCTGTTTCACTGGAAGTCGAAGTTAAATGAGAAAGCGACCAGTCCTCTTGCTAAACATTTTCAATGATACTTCCAAGAAATTCTATTCTTTTAAATAGAATTGTAGAATCTTGCTTAAGGAAAAAAAAAAAAATTACAGTTGAAAGATAAAACTAAAGTTCTTATCCGAATTAAAGTTTAATATCTTGCTATTTTTTAAAGTGTTGTTACTGATCTATAAATCTATGATTCTGTAATGGAGATTATTGTTTCTAAATTTATATTCCATAGATAATTATATGTTCATGGTGATGAATCTTAAAATATCAATTTGGAAATTTCAAAGAAGCAAATTCATCTGAGCAGCAGTGGACAAATTTGAGGACCTATTTTGAACTTTTGCTAGAGGTTCTGTTGGCATGACACTGTGTTGATAATTACCTGTTTATGCCTCAACTGTATATTCTTAATCTTTGCATAAGAACAAATTCAAAAGAAACAACCGAACATTGTGATTGCAGTGAAAACAGACTTGTCCGGCAGGAAATAATATATCAACTCGGATTTATGTTGTTCTTAGAAATCGTTCAAAGCTGATAGGAAAAAAATGATAATTAACTTCATATAGACGAACTGTTGTATCAAGAAAAAACATTTTAACCAACTGAATGTCCAACATGACAATGTGTATAACCTTTTATATAGATTAACAATCATATGGGTAAGACCAATCCTAAACACGAATGTTACTCTGTTAATCTCCACCAATTTACATCGACTAGACAGTGGTAGATATTAACTACAATAGTTTTAACAATTTGCTATCACTTTAATAGCAGTAATTTTATTTGTGTCATTGAAAATATTCTTATTGTATCCCTTGAATTAATTTGCTTTTGCTCATCATATAACAAATGTGAATTTTCGTGCAATAAAGAAAACAAATAAGTTTTAGACTTTAAAGCTTGAAAATCTGTGTAAATTCTTTTTTGTATTTGAGCAATGTACTGTTTGTCATTTAAAAAGAAAAACGGGTTGGGGCACAGAATGAATGGATGAGATTGGACGTTAACGCATGGTAGTAATTATGAAATGATGTGATTCAATGATGGTGTGTTTGTTTGATAGGGAGTATTCAAATAACCTAGCATTACTTTTGTTAGAAGCCAGTTTTTATGGTAATTATGGTAATTAATGGTCCCAAATAGGCTATTAATTTTTTACAGAATTCTCCTTTTGCCGATACATTCCCAAATTGAAATTGGCCGTCATTTACGCTATTCAAGTAAATCAATGCTGAACATACCGGATTGCTACTTATTTTTTTTCTTCTTGTTTTTGTCTCGCCTGCGTAGCAAAAAAGCGAGACATAGGCGCCGCTTTTCCGTTGACGGCGACGGCGGCGGCGACGGCAGCGTCAACATCAAAAACTTAACTTAAGGTTAAGTTTTTGAATTTTTGATATAATTGTGAATGTGTAAGTCCTTATATGGACTATGTGAGTTGAATTTCAGGTCACAAAGTCAAAGTCAAAGGTCATTTCAGGTCAACAGACTTAGACTATGTTGTGGCATCATTAAGGTTAAGTCTTTGAATTTTTGATATAATTTTGATAGTATAAGTTCTTAGTCAATGAAACTTGGACTATAGGTTAATCAAGTATCCCTAATCATGTGAGTAGAATTCTGGTCACTAAGTTAAGGTCAAAGGTCATTTTAGGTCAACAAACTTAGACTTTTTTGTGGCATCAACATCAAGATTTTTAATTTTTAACATATTTTCAAAAGTGTTTGTTCAAATTCCATTAAACTTGTACCCAAGAGTTATCAAGTATCACAAGTCATATGACACAAATCCCAAGTCACAAGGTCAAAGGTCATTTTGGGTCAGTAGACTTGGATTATGTTTTCACAACTTAATACGAGAATAAATGAATCAATTTTTCTTATTTGTTCATGATTCTTACATATTCACTTCAAAATGCTGATTATATTCAGAGGATTTCATTTTTGGGGGCCTGCTAATGGGCCACCCTGCCTATAAATAATGTTCCAACCTCAATTGTTCATCTTATCGAATTGCGTAATGCAGGCGAGACCGCCGAGAGCGTTTCCCTTGTTCTTTTGTAATGGGTTACTCTCTCAGTATTGAACATGTTTTCCTGAGAGGCCCTGTACAGATTATAAGTTGAAAATACAGAGGAAATTGTACAAAGTTTAATTACATATTACCTATCATGTTATTGATTATTTTTTTCCTTCGTTTTTAAACATGATATAAACACACACACACAAAAAAAATAACTTCTATTCAGGTTATATACCATTTAAGGTAAATATTTCCCTTCTATTCAGGTTATAAAGCAAAATAACATACTTCCTTTCGAATTGATAAAAACAAAATTAAAGCGGGAAAGCTTAAAAGAACCGTCTCTGGGAGGAAAAAAATGATAACATGTATTTTAAGCTGCTTTCTGTTTGCTATATACCATTTAAGGTAAATATTTCCCTTCTATTACCCAGAGGATTTAAAATTGATTTTAAAGCTTAAATCTGTTGTTTTTCATTATGAAACAGGCCCTAAAAGTAAAGTAAATTTTAAGGCCCTTAAAATTGATCCGATTAATTTTGATATCAATTTTAAGGCCTCACTCATGAAACACCTCCCTGATCTTTCCCCTTCCCTCTCCACCTCCCGGAGCTTGTATTTTTTGTCGCTAAACAAATTAAATGAGGCCTACAAAATTAAATCGTTCATGAGAAGAAAAAAAATCAGATATTTTAATCCCAACATGAAAATACTAAGAGTATCATATTTTATCGCATTCTCTTTCTGTTTATCTTTCTTAATTTATCGGTTGTTTTTATGTCTCTCTACTTTATGTATTCCTCTTTCTTTCTCCTTATACCCCCCCCCCCCCCCTCTTTATCGCGCTCTCTCTCTCTCTCTCTGCTTCTTTCTCTTTACTCTATAACTTCCAACGCATCTTACCTCCATCACTCTGTTTTCTGAACATAGGTTATGCCCCTGTGGAACTGAAGAGGGCGGCAGACTGGAATCTCATCTCAAAGGTCTTCAAGCATCATCTAGAGGCAACCTCTTTGTGCGGCTTTTGCATGTAAGTATCGCTCCACGTTGTGTGCACTGTACACGTCCACTATTTCTTATTTCCATCTGTATAACAACCGCCATGACGCTAATATTGTTCTGTATTATCGTTTTTAATATTCAATTTCAAAATGTATTTCCATTTTAGGCCCACTTTCTTTTAAACGTTTTTCAAGTGTTATTTTTTTCTGCAAAATTCTCCCATTTTGCTTGGTAAGTTTTTCAAACTGTTTCTTTATATTTTGATTTCTCGTTTCAGACTCTTTTGTCTCTGCCCCGGGTCTCTGTCTCAAATGTTGTCGATTGTTATCCCATGTCCTAGAAACCAGTTCTAAGACAATCACCCCCTGGGCAATCACCTCCCCCCCCCCCCCCCCGCAAATTACCAACGGGACAAAAAAAAAAGACATTTATAATATTAATAAAAGCTAGTTCTTATAAAGCTTTTCAGGACCGAAGGCCTTCTCAAAGTGCTTTACAGATATATAAATTATTACCCCCGTGGACACCCCCCCCCCCCCCCCCCATGTGGACAGTTACTCCCGAGGACGATTACCTCCCGATTTAAAAAAATTAATTAAAACCAACTTTAATATTATGGGTGGACTTCCCTTTTAATGAACGGGGGGGGGGGGGGCGAGGAGTAATTGTCCTGGTGGAAAACATTTCGGGGGGGGGGGTTGTTGTCCTTGAGGCGTCATTTTCTGGGGGGGGGGGTTATTGTCCTCAAGGATAGTTGTCCGGGGGTGACTGCCCAGGGGGTAATTGTCCTGATACAAAATGCTCAACAGAATATCGAAACGTTGTTTAATAGCTTTATTTAACTAGTTGATATATGTTTCTTCTCACCCATGTGTTTCTATCACGTTTCACATGTAGTTCATTTTGGTTTCCTCTGCCTGGATTTGGAATTCAATATTTTATGAAATATATTTATTTTTTCTCGATATTTCCCGTTTCGATGCTATTATTTTCAGTATGATTTATTATCTTTATTCCTTGCATGCGATTGAGAATTTTCCTTCTGTAATCACTTCATTGTTCGGCTCTTTGTTGTATTTTATTGCGCATCCGGACACCTAACCCCTGGACATTCACCTCTGGATAACAACACCACCTCAACTAACCCCTAGACAACTTCCCCCAGGACAATTAACGCCCAGATAACTACCCCCTAGGATAACTACCCCTAGGACAACTACCCCCTAGAACAACTCCCCTAGGATAGTTGTCCGGGGGGTATTTGTCCTAGAGGATGGTTGTCGTAGGGGGTAGTTGTCCCGGGGGTAGTTTCCCTAGGGGTAGTTGTTTTAGGGGGTAGTTGACTGGGGGTGGTTATCCGGGGGGGGGGGTGGATGTCCAAGGGGAAGGTTTCATAGAACCATATTATTGTGCTAATATCGTTATAACATAAACTCATTCACAAAAACTTATCGTGCTGCATTTTGGTTCAGTTTTTGTTTTCTTCTATTTAATTGTTATTTTCAGTTATCCTCCCACTCTTAATCCATTTTCTTAATTTTACCGCTGATTCTTTCTGTTTTGTATGTTGTATGTTTCTGCTCTTCGTCTGTCCCTTTCTTTCTATTCGAGGCATCTGAGGCGGCACTCGAGGGGAGGGGGCACACCCCCCCCCCCTCCAAAAAGAAAGTGCTTCATGTATACGGAAGAAAAGTGTCCCATTTAAATGTGCCCTTATTCAAATTTGAAAGGAGCCATTTTTACTTTGACAAATGAACCTTTTCCTTTCTTATTAACCCCCTTTCCTCTTCTTATAAGTGCCCATTTACATCTCTGAGGTGTGCCCCTTTTAATATCTGAATGATTGACTGGAAGGTTTATTGAGAACATTCCATGATCGCAGTCATACAACTGCAGTGACATGGATTACAATACCAACTATGCACGTGTAAAATATATATATATATATATGCATTTGTCGAAAGGATATAGACCACGGAAAAAAATGAGGATAAGAATACAATTCATTAAAGCCGCCTGTACACATTATTCAGAATTAATGAGCAAGAGAGGAAGCGAAAGGCAGAGGAGAGAAGAGAGTAGTAGAGGAGTAGAGAACAAAACTAAGCAGAGCGACCGTGGAAGGAAACGAGTTGGAGAGACAGAGATGTAGAACAGGGTGGATAGGAGAG